GTCTAGAACGATGTGAGTTAAATTTCGTGAAAATCGGTTTAGATTTAGCTCCCATATATATATATATACATATTCGTCCGATTTTAGCTAAATGGTGCACCAAAGTCCCTATATATCCTTCGATTTACACAAAATGTGGCATAGCGTACTGAATTAGGTCTAGAACGATATGTGTTAAATTTCGTAAAAATCGGTTCAGAGTTAGATATAGCTCTCACATATATTTCCTTCCGATTTTAGCAAAAATGATGCACTAAAGTCCTTAATATCTTTCGATTTACACGAAACTGAAATAAGTCTAGAACGATAGGTTTTAAATTTCGTGAAAATCGGTTCAGATTTAGATATAGCTCCCATATATATTTTCGTCCGATTTTAGGTAAATACTGTACCAAAGTCCCAATATATCCTTCGATTTGCAGGAAATTTAGCACATCCTACTGAATTTAGTCTAGAAGGATGATTGATAAGTTTCGTGAAAATCGGCTCAGATTTAGATATAGCTCCCACATATATTTTCGTCCGATTTTAGGTATATGATACACTAAAGTCCCTTAATATTCCTCGAATTGCACGAAATTTGCAATAGCGTACTGAATTATGTCTAGAACAGTGTGTGTTAAATTTCGTGAAAATCGGTTCAGATTTAGATATAGCTTTCATATATACTTTAGTCCGATTTTATGTAAACGGTGCACCAAAGTTCCTATATATTCTTTCGATTTGCACGAAATTTGGCATAGCGTACTGAATCAAATATAGAACGACGTGTGTTAAATTTCGTGAAAATCGGTTCAGATTTAGATATAGCTTCCATATGAATTTTCGTCCGATTTTAGGTAAATGATGCACCAATCTCCTAATGTTTGTCCTATTGACAAGAAATTTTGCACCACTTATAAAATTGAGACTAGAAGGACGTTATTGCGTTTTGTACAGGGTGCGCAAAAATTCGCTCGCGGATGAATTAAAATACATTCTTTTCGTTTTGTGCTCATTTTACGAACGAATTTATGGCGATAAATTATTACCAAACGAGCATTCGCCAAAGAATATTCGCACACACATAACAAACGAGTGAGAGCACACAACAACGATCGTTTCGTTTGGTGGTTCGAATTCTTTCTGACATTCTCTCACGAATGAAAATATACATTCCCGAATTCTCGCGAATGCTCAAAACAGCAACAACAAACGTTCGTGAACTCAATTGTTGTTTAACATGTGTTTTGTTATTCCACACAATTTCTGCTACACACACATTCATTCGTTGTGTGTGTTTTTACTTTTTTGTGACATTTTTGTTTATAGTTGTTTTTACAGTGCTTGCGAGTATTCGCGAATATTTTTGTTATACCATTCACCACACTGTGGTACAGGATATTATGTCTTTGTGCATATGTTTGTAACAGGCAAAAGGAAACGAGATAGACACATTGGAACCTTCTGAGAATATGCATAGAATCACTTTCTAAGTCGATTTATGTTTTTTTTATGTCCGTCCGTCTGTCCGTCCATGTTAAATTGTAAACAAAGTACAGGTCGCATTTATGATCCGAATTGGATGAAATTTGGCATAGGTCACTTATTCGGCCCAAGGACGAACCCTATTGAAATTGGGAAAAATCGGTTCAGATTTAGATATAGCTCCCATATATATATTTAACTGATTTAATGTAAACAGTCCCTATATATCTTTCGATTTGCAAGAAATTTGGTACAGCCTAATCATTTAGGTCCTAAATGATGTCGGCCAAGTTTCGTGAAAATCGGTCCAGATTTAGATATAGCTAACATATATAGTTTCGTCCGATTTCATGTGAATGGTGCCCCAAAGCCCCTATATATCTTTCGATTTGCACGAAATTTGGCATAACGTATTGAATTAAGCCTAGAGTGATGTCTGATTTAGATATAGCTCCCATATATAGTTTCGTTCGATTTCATGTAAATGGTGCCCCAAAGTCCCTATATATCTTTCGATTTGCAAGAAATTTGGTATAACGTAATGAATTGAGCCTAGAATGACGTCTGCCAAGTTTCGTGGAAATCGGTCCTGATGTAGATATAGCTCCCATATAACGTTTCGTCCGATTTTATGTAGATGGTGCACCAAAGTCCCTATATATCCTTCGATTTGCACGAAATTTGGCATAACGTAATGAATTGAGCCTAGAGTGATGTCTGCCTTGTTTCGTGAAAATCGGTCCAGATTTAGATATAGCACCCTTTTATTATAGATTGATTATAAGTAATTGACGCACCAAGGATCCAATAGGCTGATAGGAACAAAACGTTCTGAAATTAGTATAACCTAACCTGTGACAAGTTTGTTTGACTTAACGCTTAATATTTGGATAGAGCTTCCATATATTTTCGCCCGATTTCAAGTAAATTGGGCATCAAACTCCTCAAGTTAGTCAGCTTGACATCAAATTTTTCACAACGTTCAAAATTGAGGGTAGAATTACGTAGTTGCGTTTTCTAGAAGTGCAGACATAGCCCAACGGATGACCTATTTATATTTGTTTGAAGTCGATTTACATACCTTTGGCCAATTGTAACAAACGAATGACATGTTTATGGACAGATTTAGGTAGATTCACATTTAGATAAATATCACATATTTTATTTCATCCAATTTCATGTTAATAGTCCTGTTTAATATACCCATAGTGGTGAAGGGTATCATATAGTCGGCCCTGTCCGACTTTACTACTTTCCTGACTGTTTTTTTTTTTGAGTTTTTTGAAAGAATCTTCTTCAGCAATAAATGCTCGCTTGCAGAGAAATTTCATCGTTCGTGAATTTTTCGTACAATGCGAACATTCGCAATAGATTGCAAGGGACTCTAAATCTGCCCGTATGAAATTAAATATAGCATATGTTGCAGACAGACATGAGTATGTTCTTTCGAGGGAACATTGACATGAAATTGTTAGGATAAATATGTACAATATACCCAAAGTGGTGAAGAGTATTATAAAGTCGGCTCAGTCCAACTTTACTACTTTCCTTACTGGTTTTTGTTTATTTTTATTTATTATTTAATATCGAATTGAAAAAGTTGGCTTAATATTGAATTGAAAATTACCGAATCAATGAATATAAATATTTTTGATGGCGCCAAATCAATGACCATAGCAAAATGATAATGTCTGCATAGGTCTATAGTCAAATTTTTAATTGGATGGTGTATTCCGTCATTCATAAAGCTTAGCGCCAAACATAATTATTTAACTAATCGAAGATCGTAACAGAAGTATGCTAATGTCGTCATATGTAAATAACTATTTTGTTTATGGTATTTTGATAAAACAGTTTCTGTTTTAAGAAATTATTAAAATATTAAAAAACAATAATATTGTAACGTTGAATTAAGCCATAAATATTATTGATTGGCAACAAATTTAGTGAATTCATATGTAAAAAAATTAATGGTTTTCAGACTTTCAGATCCGGAATCAACATAGCACCGGCAGCGGATGTGTTTCTGGCAGATCGTTACATCCAAACTGCGAACAAAAAACATCAAAACACGCATTTGCAAGGGGACAACAACTAAATAAAAATTTCATACTCGATTTCATATATATATGATGGTGAAAAATTCCGCAAGACATACATTTCCTGATGTGATAATAATACTACTTAACAATATCAGCGTATGTAAACCCTCTGGCCATTTAAGTAACACTTCCATATCCCAGTATAAAAATGAATTCAATTTATACAAATTCAAAAGTCAATTGGATTAATAAATATAAATAAAATGGGTTAATTTAATCAAATAGTCGAAATCGTCATCGGTATTCAAAAGGATGCGTCAAGGACCAATATTTTGTGTCGTTACAAACTATGTTGTCAGGGTATTATAGCTTTGTGTGGTCCCAAGAGTTTGTAATGCCACGAAATATTTGTCCTAGTCCTAGATAAGTATACTGACCGTCATGTCTCGACTAGCTGAGTCCATCTAGTCATGTGTGTCCTTCCGTCCGTCTGTCTGTAATAATTTGTAAACACGCAGTTATATAGATCCGGCAGAGAAGATCCCTTTTGTTGTAAGAGATTACATGGACCAAATCCTCAATTATTGTCTGTTTTACTGGTCGCTCATAAAATCAGAAAGATCGGTCAATATTTAGCGGGTCAAATGAATCTTGGCTTGGCAAAATTTGCATTCTGTTGTGTATATATTCACTTCTGAAGGACATAGACCCGGGAAGTTGATAGTATATCCAAGAGGGGTAGTAGACATTTAAATTGATACCAATTTTATTGTGATTATCACATTAATATTTACAGATTATATTTAGGTAATGGCTAAGACATTTTCCTGGAAGATTATATTTAGGTAATGAAAGAGACAGAGAATTTTATTTTTGTCTGGTTTTCTAGTCACGTTAATCGAAACAATTATAAGCAGAACATCACAAATTTTCCATGGGGAAAGGGATCTGACCAATTAATTAGAATGGAATATCGGTTAATATTGAGAGGTCAAATGATCAGAGACATATGTCTATTAAATACCACAATTCGAATCGAAGTTGTAAGTCGGAAAATATGTCAGGTTAAAATTATAGCAACACTTCATGGTCATTTGAAAACACGAAAATTACATGTTCTCAATCCCGAAATCCTGGTTGAACCCGAAATTTCTCCGAAGAATTACAACACCATCGGAATCCACTATAATGGAGTGTTGGTTGACTTGGTTCACTTGTTTCCTGTTATATTGGCAATTGCGCCCATTATTGACGATGCTGTTAATAACATGCAGACAGCGAATTACAGGTACAAAGATGTCTAATTTTTATTAACAAAAAAAAAAAAAAATACTATAACAACACTGCTTCAGAAAAATTGAAGCAACCCAATGGAAGTCAAACAATTGATCTTCACATTGTCACCAATAACAAGATATATATCACAAAGTTAACAAAACATGGGAAGGTGATTCGATTAGATTCCATGCAATGGATATTCCATTAAATTGATTACCAACCACCGGAGCCTCCAGCAGACCAACCGCCTGAAGCACCACCTGCAGACCAACCAGCAGCTGGTGCAGGAGCTTCTTCGTGGATGAGTTTAATTACTTTAACTGGAGCTGGTGCTGGATGAACATGTTCATGATGACCATGATCGCCGGATGAGCTCTGAGTAATGACCATGAAAACTTTCACTTCACCGCCAGCACCACCAGCAGACCAGCCACCCGAGGAACCCCCTGCAGACCAGCCAGCAGAAGCACCACCAGCAGACCAACCAGCACCTTGACCAACATCGGCGGTCTGATGAATTACTTTGACAACGGTTGGAGGTGCAGCAAAGCCACCATGACCGCCAGAGCTACCACCACTGGACCAGCCACCTTGACCACCACTGCCGCCTGAGCTACCACCTCCGAAAAAGAAACCAGCATTGGCAACGGCAGAAATAGCTAGTAAGCATACAAAAACCTGAAATGCGAAAACAAAAATTAGTTAAAATAAATATATTGATCACAAAATTCTCAAAAATGTTTAACATTGACCTATTAACCGAGTAAGGTTAAAACAAATTTTGTTTTTCTTGGTCAAAACCAGTAATTTAAAACTCCATTCAAAGATGCTCCAGGGCTAAATAGTTAACCATAATCCAAATACTTAAACTTCCGTTAGTAGTTAGTAGTTAGTAGTGCCAAAGTATACGCAGGCATTGTAATCACAATTTTTTATCAAGCGTTGATGTTGTAGTTGAATGCGAACTAGCATTATAGATGTTCTCTGTTGTGTTCGAAATGTCATCCACTCGTTGCTTTTAAAATGTAATACAATACATTTAAGCTAAATAGCGTACCAAAGTCCCTATACCTTTCGATTTGCACGAAATTTGGCATAGCGTACTGAATTAAGTCTTGAATGATGTGTGCAAAGTTTCGTGAAAATCGGTTCAGATTTAGATCTGAAAATCATTCGATTTGCATGAAATTTGTTATAGTGTACTGAATTAAGTCTTGAATGATGTGTGCAAAGTTTCGCGTAAAACTTTTCAGATTGAGATATAGCTTCCACATATATTTTCATCCGATTTGCACGAAATTTGGCATAGAGTATAATAGTATAATAATGTGTGCTAATTTTCATGGAAATCGGTTCAAATTTAGATATAGCTCTCATATAGTTTCGCCCGATTTTAGGTAAATGGTGCATCTAAGCCCCTGGAAATCTTTTCATATGCACGACTTTTAGCATAGTGTACTGAATTAAGTCTAGAATGATGTGTGCAAAGTTTCGTGAAAATCGTTTCAGATTTAGATCTGAAAATCATTCGATTTGCATGAAATTTGTTATAGTGCACTGAATTAAGTCCAGAATGACGAGTGCTAAGTTTCGTGAAAATCGGTTCAGATTTAGATATAGCTCTGATATATATTTTCGTCCGATTTTATGTAATTGGTGCACCATAGTCCCTATATATCTTTCGATCTGCACGAATTTTGGTATATGGTACTGAATTAAGTCTAGAAAGATGTTGCTAAGTGTTGCGCAGAAAGAATTTTTGGTATTTTTCCCGAAAGGAAACACGTTGGTTTTAATTTAAAATATTAATATTCACAATTTTATTTGTTGCTCCGTATGCCGGTTAAAAGTCAACTCACTAAAGCATAATTGCATTCCCTTCTTGTAGGGCCACATACAAAACAAATGGAACAAAACGAAATTGAAACATAAAAGAAATTGACGATCAAAACAAAACAAAGGACAGTTATTAATATGTATGTTACATACATATAAAACTGTCAACAATGCAGTCAACGACAGATCACTGCATTGTTGTTGTTTTGTTACGAAGAAGAACTAGGAAAGCAGTAACAAGCAAATATTCAAACAGTATTTGAATATTGTTGTTGTTGCTTTCCTAACAAGACGAACGACAAAAAGGGCGACAAAAAAGAATGCAAAAACATTAGGGTGAGCCGATTATTAAAATTAACAAAAAACATTAAGGTGGGCCGAACAAAATATGAAATTATAATAAATGAATTAAAATTTAAAATAATAAAGTAAAACATAAAAATATATAAAATAATCTCCTCCAACACTAAGCTTTGTGAAAAGATCCATAGCTAGGCCGATTGACACAACGTACTAAAGTAATATAAATTATTCCCTGTCAAGTTTCAAGGAAACTTCGGTTCATATATAGATATATAACAAAAACGCGACGTCTGTTAGGATACATATGTAGAATATACCCAAAGTGGTGAAGGGTATCATATAGTCGGCCCAGTCCGATTTTACTACTTTCTTACTGGTTGTTTTTGTATTGATGATGGCGGGCATGATAACTCCTCACTGGAACATCGGAATCCGAATATTCCTACGATGTTAGAAAGAGTACATGTTTGGCTCTTGTATGAACTAGGATTATTGACTTCCCTCAACAATTATCAAAATGGCGGAAATTTGAATTTTTTTGAAAAATCGCCTATTTCTGAAAATCTTCATCGATTGGCTTTATCCTAGTTCATACGATATACATTCCCAGAGAAACGTCCCAAAATTTGAAATGGATTGAATTATTAGTTTTTGAGTTATCGTACCCTCTATTCGCAAAAACGCTGTTTGAAAACCAGTAAGGAAAGTCGTAAAGTCGGACTGGGCCGACTTTACGACCATGGGTCTATCTCGATTATTTTTGCCTGTTACAAACATATGCACAAAGACATAATACCCTGTTCCACAGTGTTGTGAAGGGTATAAAAACGCGTTTAAAGTTTGAGAAGCCATCTTGCTGTCATTTGATGCTAACACAATAATTCGGCAAAGTCTTCAAAATTGTTAAGATTTTCACTTGAAAAATTATACTACTTTCATTACTGGTTTATTATGTAGAACTGTTGGATTCTGAATTACTTTTTAAAAACATATATAATTATGCCAAATACGTAAAAATAGAAAACTGTTGGAGTCTGATTTACTTTTTAAAAACATATATAATTACGCCAAATACGTAAAAAGTAGATTTCGAGGAAAGAAAGAACCGGTTATCTAAATTTTTGAACCGGATATTCCAAGTATAGTCAGAACCGGGCCTATATAAAAAACTTCATGACGATTGGTCCACAATGTAACCTTAATTTAAACCGATTATTTCGAAGGATAACTTGGCCTACATAAAAAATGCTGATTGGCCCACAACAGTGATCTGTAATTTATTTACAAATTATAATGGACACACGTTGGCAGGTCGTTTGGCCTAAAAGTTGACTGATACTGATTTGTCTTAAATCATCGAAACATCGAAACTCTGGTAAATGTTTTGTATTGTTAATTGGACCAAAAGAAGCGTAATATACCCCCAAAACATAGTTGTGTATGGGCAAGAAAAAAGCTCCGTTATGTCCCTTTCAAATCATAAACACAACAAAATTTCACTTTAACAATTATTTCTAATATTTTATTAAAAAAAAAATACTATAACAACACTGCTTCAGAAAAACAGAAGCAGCCCAATGGAAGTCAAACAAATGATCTTCACATTGTCATCAATAACAAGATATATATCACAAAGTTAACTAAACATGGGAAGGTGATTCGCTATTATTTGATTCAATGCAATGGAAATTCCAGTAATTTGATTACCAACCACCGGAACCACCAGCAGACCAACCGGCTGAAGCACCACCGGCAGACCAACCAGCAGCTGGTGCAGGAGCTTGTTCATGGATGACCTTAATAACTTTAACTGGAGCTGGTGCTGGTGCAGGATGAACATGTTCATGATGACCATGACCGCCGGATGAACTCTGAGTAATGACCTTGAAAACTTTCACTTCACCACCAACACCGCCAGCACCACCAGCAGACCAGCCACCCGAGGAACCGCCTGCAGACCAGCCAGCGGAAGCACCACCAGCAGACCAGCCAGCACCTTGACCAGCATCGGCGGTCTGATGAATTACTTTGACAATGGTTGGAGGAGCAGCAGGTGCAGAAAAGCCACCATAACCGCCAGAGCTACCACCACTGGACCAGCCACCATGGCCGCCAAAACTACCACCGCTGGACCAGCCACCTTGACCACCACTGCCGCCTGAGCTACCACCTCCGAACAAGAAGCCAGCATTGGCAACGGCACAGATAGCTAATAAGCATACGAAAACCTGAAAAATTGAAAACAAAGATTACCTATGATATCGATAAGGACCTCACATGGAATAAAAGCCTATAATCCACAGTGTTAGGCGAAATAATATTTTTTTCTTTCTTTTTCAAACTAACCTTCATGTTAGACTTTTGTTTGACTTGGTCTTGTATTGTAAATTGAATGAATGTTGTTTTGAGATTGATGCCATTCCAAGAGTTACAACTTCTTTATATACTCAAATGTAGGCGTTGATGGCCAAAGACACTCTTCACTACAAGAGTCTCATCAACGATTTTTAGCATTGGCCTATTCAGCGATGTTTGATGTTGTTGTTGTTTCTTTTAACCAGTAAACCAGTCATCATTCTGCATCGATGAGATGTTCCAGGGCTAAATAGTTAGCCATAGTCCATATACAACAAAACATTGTAATAATGTCTTATTTTGGAATTCAAAATGTTGTTGTTTTTGAATAGATAGACACATCATACAAGTTCTCAGTTTTGTTTGGCATACCAGTATGTTAATGCAAATTCCAAAAATAGCAGTTTTATTTTTTATTTTTATTTGTGGAATTGAAAACATTGTAACCCGGTTGTGACCTAATTTCTTGATAAACAAATTTGACGTTCAAAATTCTGCTAGGTTTGTCAAACATTTAGTTTGCCGTATAATAACACATAAATATGTATTAGTTTATGTTTGAAGTTAAATGCATACCGATATATTTATGCAAATATACTATGTAGACTTAACAAAACAGTTTGGCATAATATGATATTATTTTGGTACAATGCGCCTTCGGTACTTTTGGTTTAGAGCTCTATATCTCAGTACTTATTCAACATATATAAAAACTTTATGGCTTATTATTGTCCTCTGACTCTTAATTATAAAAATTTGTACCAAAAGGATATAAAAAATTAGTATTAGTTACAAATTTTTTACAGTTTCGTAAAAAAACTCAGTTTCGCCGAATGTGCCCCAACCCGGGGTAGCTTCGGCATAATAATCATCGCTATCAGTCTGGTTAAAATTCAGATCCTCTAAAGACTCTATTTGGTATTAAAATGCCGAATCTACCCCGAATGTCCTTTTTATAGTTTTTTTTTAAATTTTTTTCTATCAGTCTTGTACTTTTTAATATTTGAAAAGTTTTATACACGAAATACTTACGAAATGGAATGGAAATATTACAAAAACATCTGTAAAACCAGTAAGGAAAGTAGTAAAGTTGGACTGGGCCGACTATATGATACCCTTCACCACTTTGGGTACATATGTATCCGAAAAGACGTCGCCTTTTTGGAAACTCTCTTTCTGGAACCTATGCTAAATTTCATTTCATTTAGGCAAGTTTAGAGTCGCTTGCGCACACTGGCACATATTTGTGTAAATCGATTTAAGGGGACCCCCCCCCATTCTCGGGGTCAAAATTTTTGTTGACTTAATTCCAATCTACACTAATTCAAGAATGTCCCTGCAAAATTTCAAGTAAAAATCTCTAGAACTCTTGAAGATATAGCCGATTTATTGTGTCAGCATCAAGTGACGGCTGAAGGGCTTCTCAAACTTTAAACGCGTTTTTCTCTAAACATTTTTTTGCGAATGGCGGGCACGATAACTCAAAAACTAATAACCCAATCGATTTCAAATTTTTACACGTTTCTCTGTGAGTGTATAGCTCTCGTATGAACTAGGATAAAGCCAATCGGTGAAGATCTTCCTTATTTTTTAACTTTGTTTTTGGTAAAAAATCGGCGATTTTCCAAAAATATTTTTTCAAAGTTCCGCCATTTTGTTAATTTTAGAGCGAAGTCAATAATCCTAGTTCATACGAGAGCCAGACATGTACTCTTTCTAACACCGTTGGAATTTTCGGATTCCGATGTTCCAGTGAGGAGTTATCATGCCCGCCATCAAAAATAAGGACTTTTCTTTGATCACAAAAAACAACAACAAAACAACAACAAATATTTTTTGTAAATTATTTTTCTTCTTTTTTAAATCTTCAAATATATATGTGCGAAGTTACAAACCTTAACAAGCATTGGTATTCATTTACCAGCCCATTTAAAATCTTAAAAATAAAAAATCGAGAATGGGGGGGGGGGGTTCCCTTAAAGCACACTTGACACACGCTATTCGGTATGCTGCACTGTTTAAAATTTAATCTCAATAAATAAGTCGAAATTATATATGGAAGCTACGAGATATTTATATCTGAACCGATTTGAAGCAAACTTACCAGAGATTAATTTATACTAATTTCAATACGTTGTGTCAATCGGCCTAGCTGTGGATTTACATAAAATCCAACGAAAATATATATGGGAGGTGTACACATCATTCCAGACTTAATTCAATACGCTATGTCAAAATTCGTGCAAATCGAATGATTTTCAGAAACTTTGGTGCACCATTTACCTAAAATCGGACGAATCTATATATGGGTGCTATATCTACATCTGAACCAATTTTCAGGAAACTTAGCACACGTCATTATAGACCTAATTCAGTAGGCTATACCAAATTTCATGCAAATCGAAAGATATATAGGGACTTTGGGGCACCATTTACCTTAAATCGGGCGAAACTATATATGGGAGCTATATCTAAATCTGAACCGATTTTCACGAAATTTAGCACACATCGTTCTAGACTTAATTAAGTACGCTATGCCAAATTTCGTGCAAATCGATGGATATATAGGGACTTTGGTACACCATTTACCTGAAATCGGACGAAAATATATTTGGGCGCTATATATAAATCTGAATCGATTTTCAGGAAACTTAGCACACATCATTCTAGACCTAATTCAGTAGGCTATACCAAATTTCGTGCAAATCGATGGATATATAGGGACTTTGGTACACCATTTACCTGAAATCGGACGAAAATATATATGGGCGCTATATATAAATCTGAATCGATTTTCAGGAAACTTAGCACACATCATTGTAGACCTTATTCAGTAGGCTATACCAAATTTCGTGCAAATCGAAAGATATATAGGGACTTTGGTACACCATTTACATTAAATCGGGTGAAACTATATATAGGAGGTATATCTAAATCTGAACCGATTTTCACGAAACTTGGCACACATCATTCTAGACCTAATTCAGTAGGCTGCGCCAAATTTCGTGCAAATCGAAAGATATTTGGGGACTTTGGCACCTCATTTACGTTAAATCGGACGAAAATATATATGGGAGCTATATCTAAATCTGGACCGATTTTTCCCAATTTCAATAGGGTTCGTCCTTGGGCCAAACAAATGAACTGTGCCAAATTTCATCCAATTCGGATCATAAATGCGACCCGTACTTTGTTTACAATTTAACATGGACAGACGGACGGACGGACATGCATAAATCGACTCAGAAAGTGATTCTATGCATATTCTCAAAAGGAACCATGGGTCAATCTCGATTATTTTTGCCTGTTACAAACATATGCACAAAGACATAATACCCTGTACCACAGTGTGGTGAAGGGTATAAATACAAAAATCCGTGCATCTAAATAAGTTTATTTGCTAGAAATTTCAAACTTTGTGACAATTATTTATTTCGATATTGGATACCTATGTATCGAAACTAGTGATGTACGGTGAAAGCTTCATATCGAAAACGCGATCGCCGAAGGTGCCCCAGTCTCCCATAATGTCCAAGACAAGACTATATTCAGACATGTCTGTATAGCTGTTTTAACGCTCCAAGAATTCGTAATGGCACATTACAGCGTGTTTGGTTAAAAAATACGAATAAACATCATTTGGAACCGAATTGTCTTTTATATGACACTTCTGTTTATAATAGAGCACAAGCTCCACACTTCACCTTAAAATCAGTTCAGATTTATATTTATATATATATATATATACGACTTTATGTAAATGGGATGGGACTAATTGGGTCGCGTCCCAATTTATATGGGGGTTATGGCAAGAGATGGACCAACATCGAAAAATTTTCCACACACATTTTTTTTAAAATACAGACACTTAAGTGGGGTAAAAAGGTTTTAAAGCCTTAAAAGTATGCGAATAGAAATGAAGTGCTATATGGAGTATATGTCCGCATAAATATTTTCTACCCTAACAGAGCCCAGAAAATACGACTAAACCCCTCAAAATACCGAAAATAGGTCGGTACTTTAACCTTAACGTGTAACGTGGATGCTATCCCGAAACACGGAATGCCTTATGAGAATCCAAAATATCAAATTGAAGCAACTTCGGTTAAAAAAGTGACTAAAGTCACCAACACACCTAATAATTGAAGTACCGCTCCACTCCGTAACAAAGACCCCTATTGATAATTTTTGGTAGGATATAAGGTGAATATTTCGAGGTGTTGCTAGAATATTTAAAATACACCTACTCCATATTGTTTGTATAATGCATTTTTAAAAGACAAAGATCTCATTATTAGCTATAAACGAAGTTCCTTCTCTAAAGTTTTTAGCACTTTCTAGCTTTTTTTACAAAAATCTGGAATTTTTTTATCGACACTGACCAGAACTAATGTATTTATTGACGAATAAATAAATGGTTATTTATGGATCAGACCTTGTATATTTATCATCAGAATAAAATTCTGTGTCAATTTAGCCACGTCTATTGAAAAAGTTGCTTGGGTGTTAGGTATTGAAAAAGAGGTTTATCGGTCCACGATTTGGAATGTTGAGGATATCAGTATGACTGATAGAATTGGCTGTAGTTAAATAGTTTCGGTACTCATTAGGTGATAAATCTTTCTAATTCATAATTATCAATATTGGGCTACGATCATATAAACAAGTTAATCACAATTTTGTACATCTATTTTCTGCATAGCCCTCATACAAAGGTCACACTTTCTTTTTCGGAGCCCAATTTTCTATCCTGAGTGTCTATAGTGTAATATTTCGTTTTCCACGGCAAAACATGTCCATAAAACTTCTGATCGATTTTAGGTTTTTTGAATATTCCTATGGAAAAAGGTATAAAACATTCCCAACTTCAATTCCAGAGAGCTGAGAAGCTATATTAGAGATGTAATTATGGGAAAATTGACCAAAGAATTGTGAAATGTAAGTCATGTGTAGCATATCCTATGATCGGCGGATATCATGCGGATCCATTTTTTATACCATAATATGTAGTGTGTATTAATTTTATAAACCTGATGTTGTAATCTCGAAATATTCAGCCGAGATCCCATAAAGTATATATATACCAAAGAATTGTGAAATGTAAGTCAAGTGTAGCATATCCTATGATCGGCGGATATCATGCGGATCCATTTTTTATACCATAATATGTAGTGTGTATTAATTTTATAAACCTGATGTTGTAATCTCGAAATATTCAGCCGAGATCCTATAAAGTATATATATTGAAATTATAATAGAGCTCTCAATATTTAATATAGTGCTCACTTTTCTAAAAAAGTGTCAATCATATAGAAAAATGTTGTTATTTCATTGGGAAAGGTTAGGAAAATTTTCGGCAGAAAAGCGATGTTGAAACTAAATTACATTTCTTATTCGCCAAAGACCTCACAAAGTATTATTCATTATCATTGTTATTATTAAATTCAGTTTAGCAATGTTCGTCTGTTGAAATCGCGATATAAATCATAATATGTAAAAATATTTCACAAATATGGCTACTACACTTCATTGTCGGTATATTAGCGAAAAAAACAGGTTTAAACAATTAATAAGAAAATATCGAAAACAAAACCTTAAATACCTCAATATAAGAAACCAGCAAGGAAAGTAGTAATGTCGGACTGGGCCGACTATATGATACCCTTCACAACTTTGCGTATATTCCACATATGTATCCTAACAGAAGTCAATTTTTTGAAGCAACATTGATATGAAATTGAACAAACTTAAAAATATATGATCTTTATCTATATGTAAACCTACTAACATCAATCCCTACACATGTCATTCTGCAACCTATGTCAAATTTTGCAAAAAGATTCAAAGCAAAATATGCTGCACTGTTTAAAATTTAATCTCAATCACACACCCACTCATTATTTGATGTACAATAAACATGAATAGGTCAAAATTATATATGAAAGCTAATCTATATCTAAATATGACCCGATTTCAAACAAACTTTCCGGAGATTAATTTATATTATCTTCAGTACATTGTGTCAATCGGCCGGGCCGATTGATGGTGCACTATAGGCCTAGCTATAGGTCTTTAGTGCACCATTTACTTAAAATCGGACGAAAATATATAGGAGCTATATGTAAATCTGAACTGATTTCAAGAAAGCTTGGCACACGTAAGGTTATACTATCTTCAGAACACTGTACCCAATTGTGTGCTAATCGTCCAATCTTTGGTGCACCATTTACCTACATATATATATATATAAACAAACGGACGGAAAGTGATAAGCACATTCTCGAAAAGAACTATGTGTCTATCTCGATTCTTTTTGTCTGTTACAAACATATGCACAAAGATATAATACCCTGTACCACTGCATACCTAGTAGCTTATGTCAGGTTTGCTTTAAATCAATTTACATAATGTTGCCCATTGTACAGAAAGGACTCTAAGCCCGAAATGAAATTAAGTATAGATGATAGAATGGCACGAGTATGGATTGATTTAAGTCAGTTCATTCCTAACTTTTAAATACGTCGAAGATCCTAGCCCGGTTTTCCATCCTGAGTGTACATTTTTAATTTTATCATAGCATACCCGCCCATACCCAACGGTACCCACACCGTTTTCGACTGAATTTTCAAAACAAATGGTTGATAGCTGAGGTAGGAAAGGTATAGATCTCATTGAAGGTATAGATGTATAGATAAAACGATGTATAGATAAAACGATATAATTTTTGGTGTATAACAAAAAGACTTTATTTCTAAATATAACAGCACAGCTTCAACAAAAATGAAGCTGTTTATTGTAAACTGTCTTAAAAGAATTTAACAACTCTTTTAAAAGGTTTCGTTTGAAAGAATGTATATACAAAGTTGGTCTAATAGTGATAAGGGATTTAATCGGCCCAACCGCCATGACCACCACCATAGCCGCCACCATAACCGCCGCCATAGCCGCCACCGAAGCCACCACCGTAGGAGCCACCTTCAGAGATAACCTTAATGACCTTGACGTGACCGACACCACCGTGTCCTCCGTGACCGCCACCATAGCCGCCGCCATAACCGCCACCGAAGCCGCCGCCATAACCGCCACCGAAACTGCCTCCATGACCACCAGCGTGACCTTGAGAAATGACTTTGATAACTTTGACTTCACCGCCACCGATACCACCGCCATAACCGCCGCCGATACCACCGCCATAGCCGCCGCCAATACCACCGCCATAGCCGCCACCAATACCGCCGCCATAGCCGCCACCAACACCACCGCCATAACCGCCGCCAACACCACCTTCAGAAATTACTTTGATGACAGAGACACCGCCGGCATGACCGCCTCCATGGCCACCGCCATAACCGTGGCCGCTGGCATAACCACCACCATAGCCGCCTCCAACGCCACCACCATAACCACCGCCATAGCCGCCTCCAACTCCTCCAGCACCGCCTCCGAACAGGAAGCCGGCATTAGCGACGGCACAAATGGCCATAAGACAAACGAAAACCTGTCAATAAAGACACAATTTTGTTAAAAAAAAACTATTTCTACCACTTCAAAGGAAATTACGGAAAAAAAAACTTGTGCCTATAATCCACAGTGCTAGGCTGGCAAGTTTTCCCATCCAAAATAAATCCTTCTACTATACACACCTTCATGTTAGTTGCTGTATCAATTGAATTTCTACGTTCAAAATCCAATGACTTCCAAATGGAGATTGATAACTAGCATTTAGTTTTGGCATCTTTTTATATCGAAAACTTAGAAAACAATTCGGCCAGCAATTTGAAAAAGTGGATCATAAAAGAGAATTAATAAATGCATGCATGTGTTGCAAAAACGTGCCATAGTTAAAGAATCGGACAGACAGACTAACTGACAAAAAACGCATCACATCAAAGTCAAATCAAAGGCGTTCGCTATCATTTTTGAATACAACCGCAAAACATTATCTAAACTAATCTTTTGTTAATGTTTTATCTGAACTTAATTCAAATGGATTTTGAACAAACATAAAAAATAATAATATTAAATAAAAACAGCAAACTACTCTAACTTGTTCGAATATATCATTCAGTGATTTCATTGTTCGAAATATGCATTTCATTTTTGCGTTGACAAAAAGTTGGGTTGGTTTCGGTAAAACACACCAAACATTGTCTGGCTATGTTGTTGGTCTTCTTCATTGTGAGCTCTACTGAGATGTTCTGCAAGAAATGGAAACTTTTTCATATTGAATCACAAACTTGAAGTGACTACAATTCATAAGAAAGTTGTTTGTTCTTAGTATTTGCATAAGTTCCGAAATTTGAATAATAATATAACCAGATGAACCACATCCGTATTAAACGTGAATTGTAGCAGTCGTATTAGCAGTCAAAAAAAATCGATTATGGAAGTTTTTAAATATATTTTTCATAGGATTATTTCAGAAGAATGTGTGTATCTATAAGCCTCGATTTTAAGAGGATGCTTATAAGAAAGCGTGGTAGTTATAACTACACATTATAAGCAGTAAGGAAAGTAGTAAAGTCGGACGGGGCCGATTTTATGATACCCTTTACCCTTTTTGGCCAAGATGAGGTCATAAAAGCAATTATTCGGCTCAAGAACAACAAAGCAGCAGGAGCCGACGGATTACCAGCCGAACTATTCAAGACTGGTGGCCAGATGTTGGTCAGGAGCATGCACCAGCTGATTAGCACAATTTGGCTAGATGAATGCATGCCCAATGATTGGAACCTCAGCAACCTGTGTCCCGTGCACAAAAAAGGAGACAAGACGATATGTGCCAACTATAGAGGAATAAGTCTCCTTCCCATCGCATATAAAGTGCTATCCAGTGTGCTGTGTGAACGATTGAAGCCAATGATCAATGACATCATCGGACCATACCAATGCGGCTTCAGACCTGGCAAATCCACCATTGACCAGATTTTCACTCTGCGCCAAATCCTGGAAAACACCCACGAAAAACACATCGACACATACCACCTATTTGTCGACTATAAAGCCGCATTCGACAGCCCTATCCGTTCAGAGGTGTTTAAAGCCATGTCTGCGTTTGGCATTCCTGAAAATTAAAACGGCTATGCATGATAACTTTAAGTGGCACGAGGTCAGCAGTTAAAGTAGGAAAGGACCTATCGGAGCCCTTCAATACCGAACGAGGATTCAGACAAGGTGACAGTTTGTCGTGCGATCTTTTTAACATCCTACTGGAAAAGGTCATACGAGACCCAAAGGTGAACAGAAATGGCACCCTGTACACCAAACAACACACTCGTCTACGCCGATGACATCGATATAATGAGTCGAACATTGCGAGCGGTAACAGCCACTTTGATCAAATTGAAAAGGAGTCTGCCAAAGTGGGTCTGGCAGTAAATGGCGAGAAGACCAGGCTGATGGTATCAACGCGCAAGACGTCCAGTAGATTCGGACCAACTGTGGAATTGAGAACTACAGATTCGAGGTAGTTAAAAACTTTACATACATTGGTACCGCCATAAATAAAACGAATGACATCAGTTTTGGAATTCAGAGAAGGATGTTATTGCAGACCAATTTCGATAAGGTGTTTTGTCAATCCGAAACACTGTTACTCTTTGGAGCACCATTTGCTAAAAATCGGACGAAAATATATATGGAAACTATATCTGAATCTGAACCGATTTCAATAAAACTTGATACAAAAGGAAACGAGATGTTTGAGAATATGTCGCATTAATGATCCAACATGGATGACATTTGACACAGCTCATTTATTTGCTCTAGGGACGAACACTATTGAAATTGGGGAAAATCGATTCAGATTTAGATATAGCTCCCATATGTATATATTCGTCCGTTTTTATGTAAATGGTGTACCGAAGTCCCTATATATATTTCGATTTGCACGAAATTTCGCATAGCGTACAAAATTAAGTCTAGAATGATGTGTGCTAATTTTCGTGGCAATCGGTTCGGATTTAGATATAGCTCCCATATATAGTTTCGCCCGATCTCAGGTAAATGGTGTACCAAAGTCCCTGTAAATCTTTCGATATGCACGAAATTTGGCACAGGGTAGTAAATTAGGTCCAGAATAATGTGTGATAAATTTCGTAAAAATCGGATCAGATTTAGATATAGCTCCCGTATATATTTTTGTCCGATTTAAATTTTTCAAGATTTTCAATTGGCTGGTAAATCAATACTATACACTGACAGAGAAACGTGTAAAAATTTGGAACCGATTGGGTTATTAGTTTTCGAGTTATCGTGCCCGCCATTCGCAAAAGAGAAAAACGCGTTTAAATTTTAGAAGCCCTTTAGCCGTCACTTGATGCTGACATAATAAATCGGCTATATCTTCAAGAGTTCTTGAGATTTTCACTTGAAATTTTGTAGGGACATTCTTGAATTAGTGTAGATTCGAATTAAATTAAAACAAGTGAAAGAGCGTTAAGTTCGGCCGGGCCGAACTTTGGATACCCTCCACTATAGATATAGTGACAGGTACTTGAAATGAAAATATAGGGAACATACCAAAAAATGGACCTATACCGACATTTCTACAAACCGATTATGTAAACAATAATTTTTAATAGAAAGTTATACCCTCAGCCTTATGGCTAAATAGTGTGTGTACACTTTCACACGGTGAAAATGTGCTCATCGAGATATTGTTTCTGGACCCCATGTTTCTTAGGACCAAATCTGTTTCAGAAAAATTTGATTTCATCCCATCTTATTATGTCTTCCAAACTTAGTTTAAGTCCGAATTTGGGGAATATCGGTCCATGCCTTCTGGTACCTCCCACACAGGGGCTAAGCTAAGCCTAAATGCGGCTATAGTTCACATATAGTTCATTATCGAACCGTATGTTCTATTTTTTTTATCTCGATATCCTTCGCAGGTGAAATGATTACAACAGAGTGTTAGAACCAAACTCAAAAAACGGAAAAATCAGATAATTATATTAATACAAAAAATGGAGTTTATATAGGGACTACGCCTAAAAGGGGTTGACTATTAATAATTTTTGGTAGGGAGATTTGTTTCCATATACGGCTGCAAAATACAAAATTTCAGTGATTTCGGTTGAAAAACGCGCTCAAGAACCTCAAAATGCCGATATATGGGGGCTACGAGAAAAAGTGGATCTATATTTATAATTTTTGGTGGAGACATTTAGTACCCAATAAGAATCCAATGTATTAAATTTCAGCGAATTCGGTCGAAAAACTCGCTCAAGAAGCCCAAAATACCGAAAATTGGGGGGTACCCTTATATGGGAGCTATGCCTAAACGTGGACCGATATATCTTCGAACATCTTCGAACTTGACCTGACTGCAGACCAAAGACAACCCAATGCAAAATTTCAGCACCCTATCTCAATTCCTTCGGAAGATATCGTGATTACAGCAGACGGACGGACGGAAATGGCTAGATCGTCTTAGAATTTTACCCTGATCACGAATATATATATACTTTATAGGGTCGGAAATGAATACTTCGGTGAGTTACAAACGGAATGACAAAATTAATATACCCTCCATACTATGGTGGAGGGTATAAAAATGTTTGACCCCGAGAATGGGGGGGGGTCCGCTTAATGAATATGGTGGAACAAAGTCCCTATATATCTTTCGACTTGCACGAAATTTTGCATAGTGTACGGAATTGACTCTAGAATGGCGTGTGTTAAGTTCCAAGAAAATCGGTTGAGATGTAGATTAGCTCCCATATATATTTGATTATGCACTAAGAATCCAAAGTTTGCCGACTAGCACATAATATATAGCTTTCAAATAAAATTTCGGCATATTAATGTTTATTGTACATCAAATAATCACTTGGTGTCTGATTGAGATTAAATTCTAAACAGTGCAGCATACTTTGCTTTAAATCAATTTGCAAAATTTGGCATGGGTTGCAGAATGACATGTTTAGGGATTGATGTTAGTCGGTTACCATATAGTTAAAGATCGCATATTTAAGTTCGTTCAATTTCATGTATAGACGCATCATATAGTCGGCCCAGTCCGACTTTACTATTTTCCTTACTGCTTTTTATACCCTTCACCACACTGTGGTACAGGGTATTATGTCTTATGAGATAGACACAGGGTTCCTTTTGCGAATAAGCATAGAATCATTTTTTAAGTCGATTTATGCATGTCCGTCTGTCCGTCCGTCGAGGTATTTTTGTTAACAAAGTGCAGGTTGCATTTGTGATCCGATTTGGATGAAATTTGGCACAGCGCATTTATTTTGCCCAAAAACGAACACTATTGAAATTGTGAAAAATCGGTTCAGATTTAGATATAGCTCCCATATATATTTTCGTCCGATTTGAGGTAAATTGGTCTCCAAAGTCCCTATATATCCGATTTGCATGAAATTTGGCACAGCGTACTGAATTAAGCCTAGAACGAAGTGTGTTAAATTTCCTGAAAATCGGTTCAGATTTATATATAGCTCCCATATATATATTCATCGGATTTTATGTAAGTCGTGTAGCAAAGTCCCTTTATATCTTGCATTGAGTCTAGAATGTTGTGTGTTCAGTTTCAAGGAAATCGGTTCAGATGTAGATATAGCTCCCATATACTTTTTTTCGTATAATGTAAATTATGCACTAAGGACTCAAAGATTCGCCGATTAGCACTCAATAATATATATATATATATATATATAATTTCGATCTATTCATGTTTATTGTGCATCAAATAATCTGTGGTTGAGATTAAATTTTCAACAGTGCA